AGCGCCCTTGAGGATGGTGAGGCTGACGTCATGCGGGACCACAACGCGCAGACCGCGGGCGCCCAGCACCGCCTGCACCGCGTGCTGCAGCACAGGCGACTCTGCGAAGCCTCCCACCAGGAACAGCAGCTTGACGCCCTGCACCTCCGGCCTTGCCAGCAGCGCCTCTGCGGGCAGGGGGGTGGGGGTATGGAGGAGGAGGGGGGAAAGGAGGAGTGATTGGTGTCTGTCCTCTCACCTGTGTTCTGGCAACACCTTGCCCTGTGAACTACCTCCTGATAAGGAAAATGGTGCTTTCACTGAAGGTCACCCGCCAAGTCCTCACAACCAACACGCTACACCCCAAGCCCCTTCTTTACCACCACCCCATGGAGTGCATCTATTATATCAACTGCCTACGCAAGACAGCGTGCCCACTAGACAAGTCTGCGTATTTATCCTCATGGTAGCATTTGGGGGAACCCAGTACAATCACCCCCCCTTTAATTAATGGGGAAACTAAGGCACTATTGTTTTTGTAACCTGACCAAACTTCCCATTAACCTTGTAGCTCTTAATCACAGCCATCCTGCATGCTCCAGATTACCCTTGGTCTCTTCCCTGTGGACGGATGTGTGGCTGTTTCCGGCCCTGACAAGGGGAATTATTCCCTAGTGGGGCGAATGGAGAACCTGAGCTCAGGCACTCACCTATGTGCTGGATGATCCCACTGACCGTGGGCTGAAAGAGCTCATTCATGGCCTCACAAGACATCCGAAGCATTCCCTGCGAGGACCACTTCACGAAGTTCACACTGTAGGTGGCAAAGGGGATGCAGGTCATTAGGTCAAGGTCCAGCTATTTGCCGCAGCTTATTGTCTGTGATCCTCATTTCCTCCCCTTGGCTCCAGGCAGGTGCGCTCTGAGCTGACTGACTGCACACCTTATGTGCAGGGTGGACTAGCTGAACGTTGATCCTTATCCCCACCCACTCCACAGTCTGCTCCAGTCCTAGGCATGAAGTCGCAGGAGTTCCCCCTTTCCTTAGCACAGAGGACCCAAGAAGCATTGACTGGCAGGGTGGCTCGGTATGGCTGGAAGAAGATACACATCCCATGATTCTCCTTCCTCAGGGTGAAGTGCTGATTCCAGGGTTGGACCTGCCCCTTGGGCATACTTTCCCATTTCACCCCCTTCCACGTGGTGTGTGTGTGTGCGCGCGCATGTGCGACAGATCAGGCGGACTTCCACTGCCCCGAGTGACCATCCCTTCTCCTGATATTCTCCACCCCCAAACCTGGCCTGAACCCTGCCCTGGGCCCACCTGCTTCTGCGCAAGGCAGTCTCCACGTTGTGGCCTCGCTGCTTTCGGTAAAAGTCAATGAAGGAGAAAGGCAGTGAGATGTTGAGCGACCCCGCTCGGTGCGGGCCCGCTGTGCGTTTGCGGGCCTCGAAGGCGATGGTCAGATCCACCCAGGCTGCTGGCCTTTGCCTTTTGAAGGTGGCGATGAAGTCCTCACCAAAGATGCGGCAGAGTAACTGCTCGAAGGCCAAGTCCACGCCCACCGCGCCATAGGGACCTCCTACAGTGGGGCGGGAGGCCGAGAGGGCGTCAGCAGGCACCCAGCCGCCAGAGGGCGTTGCAGGGCTGGAGCGCGCTGGGTAGCAAGGTAGCTACTCACCAGACGCCTTGTAGAGCTCCTTCAGGGTGCCATGGGGCTGTTCCAGCTGGTGCACTGTCAGGTCCACAGTGCCTCCCCCGCAGTCTGCCACCATGTAGCGATCCCCTACAGCGGCCAGCTCAGGCACTCAGGATCTGCCTCAAACTCTCAGCCCTGAGCCCCTCTGTCCTTGCCCAACCTCCGACTCTGCTGTAGGTCTCAGGTTTGTGTGTGTGTGTGTGTGTGTGTGTGTGTGTGTGTGTGTGTG